TTCAGATGATAAGGAAGCAATTAAGAATTTTTTAACCGGACTGGATAAGTTTTTGGAATTAGAAAAAAGAGAAAGTTGAGAAGAAAATGTGGAAATAATGATAGATGGAGAAATGGCACCTAGACAAGTGGTTGTCAATAAAAAAGTAATTCAATCTGTATTTGACCAAAAAAGAGAGGAAATAAGTTCTTTAAAAGAGCAATTGAATGATTTACTAAAAAATGTTGACGAGGAGAAAACAGTTGAAAGTCCTGATTCTTCTTTCGATAATGAAGCAGAATTTACTCAAGTAACCAAAGAAGAAAAACAAGCCACCATTACCTATCTAAATAATTTAATAATTGAGGTCGCTAAAAACGGCAAAGGAGATTATTCTTCGCTCTCTTCCGAGAAATTTATTCTAAAAAGAGAATTAAAGGATTATCAAAAAAAAGTTCTGCGAGATGATGAACGGGCCAATTATGAAGAAAAAATTAATAACGCCAACAATAAAGAAAAAGTCCATAAACTTCGCCAAGTAGTAATTGATGAAATTATTTATTATGTCAATGATTTAAAAGGAGGTAGTGGTCGACCGCTAGAAGTCGCAGAAATTAAAAATAGTTTTTCAGACTTAATAAGCAAAGAGACAAGTTACGAATCAGAAGTTAACGATAATTTTAATAATCAACAATATGTTGGAACTGAAAGGCGAGAGAATCAAGAACGAGAAGCCTCTGCAACACCTGAATCATCGGTTGATGAAAATTCCCATCAGTTAAAAAAATCTTTCGAAGCCTCTGAGGTAAATGGTGAATTTTTTGCAGACAAATCTTCAGAAAATAATATTAATCAAAGTTCCAATGAAAGTTCTCAAGAAACTGAAAGTATTCATCAGCAAAAAACTTCGGAACCTTTTTCAATTAATAGTGAAGAAACAACAAGCGAACAGCACCAAGTTAATAATTCTCTCGTAAATGAAAATAATGAAAGTGAACAAAATGGAGCAGAAAAACAATCAGAACTGCTTCGCCAAAAAGAGAAAGAACAAAGACGCTTAGGTCAAGAAAAAACCGAACGGGAAGCCCGAGAAAAACGAGAACAAGAAGAAGAAAAGGAGCAAGAAAGAGAATTAAAGGAACGAACACAATCCTATGTTGATCTATTAAAAGTAATTAAAAGCAGTAATAATCCTGAAGAAATTTCTCTTGATAACATAAGTTATGAAAATTTGGGCAATGACTACACTCTGGAAAAATTAGAAACTGCCAAAAAAAGCCGACGGGAAATTTTGGAAAAAGAAAAATTAACTAGAGAAAAAGAGGCCAAAAAAAGAGAAGTGCAGGAGCAAAAAAAGCAAGAAAAAATAAAAGATTATGAAGAATTATTAAAAAATATTAAAACTGCTAGCGATCTTGCTTCATTGCAGAAATTTAGCAATCAAATTAATACTTTCGTTTGTGATGGACTCTCTGAAGATAAAACTAACAAAGTTTTAGAAACTGCTTATAGTCAATTACAAACTGAATTACAGAAGCAAGCAGCAGCCGGCGAATATGATGCTCTTTCAAGACAAATCAATGAAGAAAATGATTCAAGTGCCAACTATGACGAACGGATTGAAAAATTGGATTTAACTCATTTGGAGGGAGATAAAGAACGAACTCATGAAAAATTGAAAGAAGCTTGAAATGATCGGCGAAATAAATTAGTTGATGAAGAAAAGAAAAGAATCGCCGCTGAAGCCTCAAAAGATGCTAAAAAAGAAGAAACTGAAAGGTTGCTTCGCGAAGAAAACGAAAGAAAGGAAAAAGAACACTTGGAGAGAGAAGAAATTCGTCGCTGACAGGAGGAAGCAATCGAGAAAGTTAAAACTGAGTATAATGAATGAAAAATCGAGAAAAAAGCCTTAGAAAAAATAATTTCAGAGAATTGACGAGACCAAATTCTTGCAAAGAAGAAAAATGAAGAAATTATAAAACTCCGTGATGAATTTGTTGAAAGCATTAAAGAAGCCAAAATCAAAGAGGTGATTGATGAAATTAATAACCATTGAATAAGTAAAGTGGGAGCAGCAGAGGACGCTACGTTAAATGGGCTAAACAAGCAAGGTGTATTGAAAGGCGATTGGCAAAAAAGACTCCGTGATGAGGCTGATAAAGGTGAAATTGATCGTGAAAAAGAAAGGCTAAAAAGTTTAATTGATAAGGCTAAAGAAGAAGATAACAAAATCCGTCAAATAGGGAACTCAGCCGTGAAAGCGGTTAAAAAAGCATTAGTTGACAACTGAAAAGGTGATAAAATTAGCCAAGAAGAAGATAAAGAAAAAATACTTGAGAAAATACTTGGGAATGGTTGACACATCTTTTTAAATAAACAACTATCCGGAGCAAAAATTGATTACGAATACGAAAAGGATCAATTAATTAAATCAATTAAAGAGTTAGTTCAACAACAAAATAACGCAATTGATAGTATTGAAAAATATTGAAATGAAAAAGTTGCAGTTGAGAATAAAACCAACGGAAAAATTAATAGGCAAGGCAAGGAAGAAATACTTAACGTTGGCTTAACTCTACCGAATAATTGAGAAAAAGATATTCTAAATCAAGTTGATCCAAACATTATCATTGCCAAATTGACTTATTACAAAGGCTTAATCGATTATGCTAAAGCGGAGGAAGACAAAAAAGTTGCTTGACATAAAGTTGCTGTTAAAACGGTTGAAATTCATTGAGAAGAAGAGGGTCAAAATTTTGGCGGATTAATTGATGGCAAAACTCAGGAAGGAAAAAGAGTTCTTCCTATTGATTGGAAAGATAGTATTAAGGAAAAAAATGGAATAGAGGAGATTAACAAAAGAGCAGAGGAGTTAAAAACCTTAATTGATCAATTTATAGAAAAAGAAGCAACTCAACAAAATACTTCTGGAACAAGGAAAAAAGACCCAAAAGAAAACGAATTAAATAAAAATTTAAAAACACTTTTAAGCGGAGAAGCAACTGGAAAATCAGGTATAGGTGTTTTAGTTGGACGACTAGGCGGAAATTATAAAAAAGATGTTGAGAAATGATTTGAGGAGTTGACAGGTTTTATTTCTAAGAATAATTACCAGTTTTTAAAAGATATTTGCGGAGAAGTTGTAGTTAATAAAAAAGATAAAATGCTTTCTAAACTAGAAGAAGAAAAAG